GAAAACCCTGGGGAATGCACCTCTACTCTGACATGCACGGGATCACCCCGAGTGGGAGTTGACTCAGGGCAACTGGGTTTTTGGGGGCCTGAAAGAAGCTGGTGGTCACGGGCAAGGAGAGAAGAGATCCATCTGAAAGATTCTTAATGAAACAATAATGTGGTGATCAGTGGAGTCATGGGCAATAAAGACAGGGGGAGAAGCCAGTCCTCCCAGCCATGGCCTGGACCTTGCCCATCCACTGCCCGAGTGGAGACTGAAAGCCAGCTGGGTTCTGCATGGCTCTTGTGGAGCAGTAAGGGAGACAGGTCATTAAGCATATATGCATATAATTTTAATTAAGACCATTTAACAAATGTTTTGAAGGAAAAGTCCAGTGTACTGTGATTATAAATTAATAATAATAATGAGAAGAAAAAAAAAAACCCAAACTCCCTGCTGTCAAGTCGATTCCAACTCACAGCGAGCCCTCTTTGGGTTTCCGAGGCAGGATCACTATGGAAATAGATTGCCCCATCTTCCTTCCGATAAGTGGCTGGTGGGTTTGAACCGCCAGCCTTCTGGTTAGCAGTCAAGTGCCTTAGGCACTACACCACCAGAGCTCCTAATAATGAGAGAGGATCTTATTAGAAGGGTGGTCAGAGAAAACCTTGCTGAGGAAATGAGAATGAAGCCTGAGACTTTAAGATACCGGGGAGCCAGCCCCTGAACAGAACAAGGGGAAATGGATTCAGTCAGTAGAGAATCAGGACTGAAGGGGCTCAGGCCGGAAGGAGCTTTCCACATTTGACGAGCTAACAGAGGGACACACTTCAAGGCTGGAGGAATAGTGGTACAAACACAAAATAAGCCAGGACTAGTTTACAAATGGAAAATAAAATCAAACACATCCTCACCATGGAATGTAAAGGTGTTTTTGTTGCTAAGCAGTGAGGGATTAGTAACAGATTCTTAGGGATGGTCTGATTCCCTCCCTTAAATTACCACCACCTCCGCTGCCCATTGTCATGGAGTTAACTCCGACTCAGACTCATGGTGACCTCATGTGTGCCAGAGGAGAGCTGTGCTCCTTAAGGTTTTCAACTGGAGGATTTTTCAGACTCAGATCCCTAGGCCTTTCTTCAGGGGCGCCTTGGGATGGGCTCGAACCTCCAGCCTTGTGGTTAGCTGCCAAATTTCAACCTTTTGCCATGCAGGGACTTCCACTTAAACTATGGATTGATATATATAATTATGATCCCTGTTTATTTCATTTTTTACATACAAGAAAAACCTTAAAATGAAAATTCTTTTTTTCAAAATACTTAATTACCTTATTTTGAGGGAAAGTATGAACAATTCACAAGGAATCATTTTATTCTCTGTTTTGTAAAATTGGAAGAGCGGAGGGGAGACCAAAAGTCAGTTTATCTAAAGCATAAGAAGCCCTTGTGTCAGACAGTTGGCCTTACTAAGGAGACAGCGACCAAGGCCACTGGTAGGATGATCTGTTCCAGAAAGAGGAGGTGGGTGGAGGGAAAGAAAGCTGGACAATGAGTAATCCCATTTCAGTTCTTCCCTAGGATTCACTGAAGACCCTCATCGATTGACTCTGAAGGGTATGAGTTTTCAAAGTATTAGGTCCATCCTGAATATCTCAGATGCCTGGAAGCCTCTGTGCCATGCAACTTTAAAGCTGAATCAGCACTTTTCTGGGGCTTTCTAGAAGCTTCAAAATATAGCACAGTTTGAGGCAAGTAGAGCTTTTTTTTCCCCCAATAGCAATCAGATAATCAGTTATAAAATTAAAGAGCATATATTGAATAAGGCACTGCATTTTTTTTTGTTGTTATTAGGTGCTGTGAAGTTGGTTCTGACTCATAGGGATCCTATGTGCAACAGAACATAACCCGGCCTGGTCCTGGGCCACCTTCACAATCGTTGCTGTTTGAGCCCATTGTTGAAGCCACTGTGTCGATCCATCTCAACCGCAGGAGATCAGAAGAGCAGCACTGGCCCAGGGATAAAGCTAAGAAAGCAGGAAGGGGTAGGAAAGAAGGACAAACAGAAATGGTAACCACAGGGAGGAGGAAGTGCGGAAAATGCTGTTAGTCATTTTAACTGGTCTTCCTTGTATGCATATAGATATTGTCCTATCACTGACGGCATTGTACTTCAGGTTGATCTTGAAATGTTCTTTTTGACAATGAATGTGCCTCTTCAATTTGTCATTTCCGGCACTGTAGGGCATCAAAAAAAAAGAAAAAAGAAAAAAACCAACTCACTGCCGTCGAGTCATTCCCAACTCATAGTGACCCCTCCTTGGGTTTTTGAGGCGGTATCTCTATGGAAGTAGATTACCCAGTCTTCCTTCCGAGGAGTAGCTGGTGGGTTTGAACTGCCAGCCTTCTGGTTAGCAGTCAAATGCCTTAGGTACTATAGGGCATATGATTGTCCAATTCAAAATGGCAAATACAGGGCAATTTCAGTTCACTAATGCCTAGGATGTCAATCTTTATGCATTCCCTTTCATTTGTGACTTCCGATTTTCCTAGATTCATACTCCGTACATTCCATGTTCTGATCATTAATGGATTTGTGTAGCTTTTTCCTCTCGTTTTGAGTCATGCCCCATCCTCAAATGAAGGTCCTAAAAGCATTATTCCATCTACATCATTATGGTCGACTCTACTTGAGGAGGCAGCTCTTCTCCAGTTTATTCTGAGTGCCTTCCAGCCTGAGGAGCTCATCTTCCGGCACTATATCATACAGTGTTCTACTGCTCTTCCTAAGGTTTTCAGTGGCCACTTTTTCTAGAAGTAGACTGCCACGTCCTTCTTTCTAGTCTGTCTTAGTCTGGAAGCTCTGCTGAAACCCTGGAACCTGTCCACCATGGGTGACCCTGCTGGTATTTGAAATACCAATGGCATAGCTTCCAGCATTGCAGGAACATGCAAGCCGCCACAGTAGGACAAACTGACAGAACGGTAGTTGAATAAGGCACTACAGGGCAATAAAAAAGGAGGAAGATATGATCCTGCCCTCAGGGAATTTGCATTCTGACCACACTTTAATAAGATAGTATTGTACCAGTTCAAATGCATTTTCCGTTTTATGTTTCTGAAACAGAAAGCTCTCTAAGGAACAAGGTTTTATATACCCACCCACCCCAAAAGAGAGAGAGAGAGAGAGAGAAGAAAACAAATAAAAAGTTTGGGCTCATATCACTCCAGAGATAAAATCGTACTGTGTTCTATGATGAGATGGAAAAACGAGAATACTCTGAGTCGTGTATAGCTCTAGACTAGGATTTCTCAGTCTCGGCCTATTGATATTCTGGGCCTGATAGCTCTTCGTGGTGGCATCTGCCTTGTGTTGTACGATGTTTCCATCTCTGGCCTCTACCCACTAGATGTCAGTAGCATCTTCTCTTAGTTGTCACTACCAAAACTGTCTCCAGACATTGCCAAATGTCACCTGGGAGGCAAAAGCATCTTTGGCTGAGAAAAGGCAGCCTAGACATTCTTGGGAGAGCTCTATATCAATGCTATGGAAGCCTTTTTCCAAAAAATACAAGACCAAGATTTTAAACTTCCAGCTTTAGGCAACTACTGAAGGAAGAGTAAGGTTTTCTATGTAAAAGTAAACCAGATACAGGTTCATGTTCTTTATGAAATTAAGAGGGTGGTCTTGCCATCCGGGGGGGAGTGGATTGGGTAGCCGTTGCCTGTCACATTCTCAAATCCTTAAACTTTTTTTTAATGCATTTAATTAAAATATAATTTATGTACAGTGA